TTGGCTCTTGATCATATACTACCTCTTGAAATGGTTGAATATTAACCATTTCCTTTTGGTACAATGACTCTGTGTATTCCTTCCATCTTCTCTTCATGCGTTCTGCATCATTCAATAATTTGCCCAGAGACTCTTTCAATAATGAAAGTTGAGGCTTGACTTTTTTCTTCCTTTCCCCCAGCTTGAGAAATACTGAGCATGTTCTTCCTTTTTGGTTTTCTGATTCTAGATCTTTGCACATTTTGTTGTAATATTTGGCCTTATCTTCTCGAGCTGATCTTTGAAATTTTCTGTTCAGCTCGTGTACTTCCTCATTTCTTCCATTTGCTTTAGCATCTCTATGCTGAAAGCAACCACGAACTCTTAGCTCCTACTATTCTCTTCACCTAGCACATCTTCCCCTGGTTTCTGCTGTTCTGAATTCCTCCTACCCATTAAGTTTCCGTTCCAAGGCCACTTCCTCTGTCAAATATTATATGATACTTCCAGTGTGAGTTCATTACTTTTTCTCTTTTCAACAACCCAAACACTTATGCAGTTCTCTTTTGTGTCATTTACTGCATCTACTTTGTGTTGAGTTAATTGACCATATATGGTCTAATCGCCCCCAGAAAACTATATTCCTTGAGGACAAAGCTTTTAAAATTTCTATATTACTTATCAAAGTGGCTAGCAGAGAGTGAATCCACTTAAATGTTTATTATTAAGGGAATAATAATAAATGAATGAATGAAAACAATCATTCTCCTGAACTGGTCTGTTGTTCCTGTTACCTCTGCTAATGTTTATTATCATTATTTTTAAAGGATTGAGGCTATTGAGTTGATGAAATTTATTTCCTCAAAGCTCAAATGTCTTCGTTAAGTGTATGCTCAACATAATGAGCATACCATTGCTAGCCATGAGTTTGGCAGTTTGAACCCACTCAAAAATGCCTCAGAAGATAGTCCTGAGCTCTGCTTCTGAAAGATCAGTTTTGAGAACTGATGGAGAAGTTCTACTCTGCATATATGGGATTATCATGAGTCAGAATCAATTTGATGAAAACAACAAAGAACACTAGTGATGAATAGTCATTCTCTTGAGCTTTAAATTCATTACAGTTTAGGTTTTGAGACAGCTTTGAGGTTCAGACAAAAACAAGGTAAGGGAATTAGTCAAATTATCACTGGCAGTCCAGGAAAGGTTCATCTAAAAATACTCAGACAGACCTTAGCAACCTCTCAGATTTTGTTTTGTGACAGAGAAATATCATGATAATGCTCCATGACCTCTGAGTGTTAGATATTAAAGCATATTCCTAAGTGCTTACAATGGCAATCAGTGATTTGTATATATTTTAAATTTTATATGGATGCAATATATATGCCAGCTATTCTTAAGGAACTTTTTCTCTAGTTGTTCAGATGCGACACAGGTAAAATGTTAATTAACACTCTTTGACTCAAATAATTTCATCTTTGATTCAATAATTACATTTACAACCTGACTGCATGATGAACTTCCCCATTTGTTTTTGATCATTTAATGAATGTGTTCATTTTCATTATTTTCCACTTAACAACAACACCCCACCCAATAAATGCCAAAATGCTATTATTGCATTACTATTCCAATAGGAGACCTGCTTACTCTTGGAAGACAGTCTCCAGTTCCCTGCATTGCACCTGACATAGGAATTTTTCTTTCCTGCTCACATTTATGAGAAAAAGTATTAACCAAAGATAGAATTCTGTTTGGGTTGTTGTTGTTAAGAGTCACTGAGCTGGTTTCAACTCATAGTGACCCCTGCATAGGGTTTATGAAGAGCAGATGGTGAGTTTGAACCACCAACCTTGTGGTTCATACCAACCTTGCAGTACAATGCTTATCCTACAGTGCCACACCAGGACATAGATATGTGGAATAACCTTTGAGTCCTTACATCCTCTGCTTAATCAGGGCAGAACTGCCCTAAAGCCAGGGAGACTTGTGACAGTGGAAGCCAATCACCTACTCCTGGTTACCACATGGCTAGATTAGCCAGTCTCTTTGATCTGGGAGGTTGGCCAGGAGGAAGTGGGTAGAGGGAAAATCCTGAAATGATGGGACAATTGCAGCATTTGGCTGGATTTCTGGCCAGCACTCTCATGTACAACCACCATCCTGCAATCTGTGATGTTCTGCTACTGAACAGGTTTCAGTGGAGTTTCCACGGTACAACGCACCGGAAGAAAAATCTGAGCTCTACTTCCAAAATGCAGCCAATGAAAACCCTGTGGACCACAAAGATGTGATCAGCAATCTGTCATGAGAATGCACAAGACTGGGGATCATGGTATTCTCTTGTGAGTGAGGTCGCTCTGAGTTGGGGGCCCAACTGGACAGCCACTAACAACATCAATAACCTGGTGGGAATTGTAATCATTTCTTAATATTAGAGTGAAACAGAGTTTCAAGAAAGGAAGTCCATTTATAAGAAACATTTAAAAGATGCATTATTTCCTGCTTGGTTTTGTGCTGTGAGAGCTGCACAGCACAAATCATTCTGATATTCCAAAGAAAGCAAAAACTAGTGAAAAGGCCACTAGTTTCAGAAATTTAGGCTCTGGTTCTGCTCCTATCCCTGGTTAGGTATGTTGAGGGCATTCCACCACTCGGTTTCAGTTTCTTCACAAGAAAGGTGACAGATTTGGATTCAACAATTCAGAAAAATTTCTCCAATTCTAACTTTAATTTTTCTCTTGCAAATGGGTGGATGGAGCAAGGATGTGGTGATAGTTTTACTACCTACCATTCAAAGGAGTCTTGGTAGCATAGTGGATTATCTGGGCTGCTAACAGCAAGATAAATAAGTAGTTTGAACCTACCAGTCACTCCACAGAAGAAAGAGGAGGATTTCTGCTTCTGTAAAGATTTACAGCCTTGACACACAACTACCATCACCACCACCAGTACCATTCAAAGTTTGGAATCCTTTGATCTGGAGTTCTAATAAGTGTCAGGAGAGTTTTGAAGTCTTGAAATCTGAGTCTGATGATAAAGTAAACATCCATATAGTGGCAGAGAATGTATGTGGAATTCATACCTCACAGAGAGAGAATACAGCCCAGTCCTTTCATTACTGTCCCTTAGCAGATAGCTTCCATCACAACCATTGGAGAGAAGTAGGGCTTCTGCAGCATGGCGGGTGAGGTTGCCATGATACCATCTAGGAAGAAAAGAACAGTGTTCACTCAGGGCAAAACATCTGTGGCTTCTCCTTGACTGAACATTCCATCTCAAAGTAAAGTTTGACAGCACGCTTCACTAGTTAGCCTAGAGGCCAAACTGTCAAATATTAGGAAATATTAGGACAGGGGACTTGTAGGGTAAGGTTCAAGGGGAAAGTAGAGAGAGTTGGAGGGTAGATATTTTTAAGAAATCCAAAGCAAAAATAGCAATCAGAATAGGCTTTGACTTATTTTCTCTCTTTCTTTCTATTTCTCTGTCACATTCACATTCTCTTTTGCAAGTGTGATACCATTTCATGGAAGAACCATTGAAATATTAAACTAGAGCCCATTGTCATGGGTAAGATGAAGTTGAGCATAAAGAATTCAGATTTTTATTATGACATGCAAATCCCATCAAATACTGTTTCAAAGTGACAACTACATGAAGAGCTAGGGGGAGTCCCAAGAAGATTCAAATTGATCCATGTGTTTTAAAGTTTTTTTTTCAAAAAAGATAACAAGTAATCACGGGGGTAAAAAATCAGTGTAGAACTCCTTCTTAGGTTTTCCTAGACTGTAGTTCTTTACAGAAGCAGAAAGCCTCATCTTTCTCCCATGGAGCAGCAGCTAGTGGGGATTAGCTGGTGCTAACTGACCTTGCTGTTAGCAGTCCAACACTTAACCCACTGGATCACCAGGACTCCTTTGTACAAAAGAGCACATAATGAGAGAAAAAAAAAAAAAAAAGCTTTTCTCTTTGTTCTCAAGTCCCCCAGTTCTTTCCCCTCTCTGGCCAATGTTAACTATTTTCCTGTGTTTCTTCCAAACTGAAACAATCAGAAGGCCTGGGGTGGTACAATTAACAAGCTCAACTGTTAACTGAAAGGTTAAAGGTTAAAGTCCATTCAGAGGTGCTTCCAAAAAAATATATTTCTGAAAAATAATTATTAAAAACCCTTTGGAACGCTCTTCTAATCTGACATATATGGGGTTGCCGTGAGTCATAGTCAACTTAGAGCAACTGGTTTAGAAACAAACAAGCCTTCCTTCCTAATTCTATGGAAATAAGAGCATTTTAGGTATGCTGTTCTACACCTTGCCCTGACGACCGATCGTCGACATCTTTTTTGTTTCTTCTTCAACTTTTTATTGTGAATTGAGTGAAGGTTTACAGAGCAGTTCATCAATTTTACATTCAACAAAACATTTAATTAATTAATTTTTTGTTTGCGTCATTACATGGTTGCAATCCCCTTTATGTACTAACAGTTAACAGTATTTACCTCTATTCACTTTAACTATTGTATTCTTCCCGGGGGCTCCCTCTACCTTCATCTTTCCTCTGCTAACCTCCCTCTTGTATATTGTCTGCCCTGTCACCCATGTTAGTTAACATATGCCTAACCTAGTCTGTGGATACTTTTCTCTCCATCTCTTCCTCTGTAACAATCTTAGATTGTTTCTTTTATCAATAATATATATATATATATATATATATTTTTTTTTAATTACAACATTGGTCTCATAAATATTGGTCCTATCATGATTGACTAATTTTACTTAACATACATAATGTCCTCCAGGTTCAATCATGTTGTGAAGTGTTTCACAGATTCAGCATGGTTCTTCAATGTATTGTAGTATTCCATTGTGTCCTGGTGTGGCGCTGTGGGTTAATGTGCTGGACTGCAAAGTTGGTTTGAACTGCAAGGTCAGTGGTTCAAACTCACCGGCCACTCCTAGAAATTCCTATATAGGGTTGCTATGGTTTGGAACCCACTCAAAGATACTTAACAACAAAAACAACAGTGTTTGTTTAGCCATTCTGGTGATGGACATTTAGACTTTCCCCATCTTTTTTATATGTCTCTTGTAGACAGCATATTGAAGGATCCTGTTTTCTTATCCATTCTGCTCTCTATGTGTCTTGAATGGTACATATTTTTTTTTCTTTAAGTTTTTATTGTGCATTGAGTGTAAGTTTACAGGGCAGATCATCAGTTTTACATTCAACAAATCATACAACTTGTTTCATAACAATGATTACATACCCCTCCATGTACCTATGATCAGTTAACAGTATTTCTCTCTATTCACTTTAGCTCTCTATAAAAAACACCAGCACTCAGGTATATATAATAATTTGCATCATCAAAGGGCACATTCTGCAAGTCTGCCTCCTGTTCACCTTCTTTAAGTCCCTCTCTTCCTATGAATCTAGAGCCCTCAGCCGCTCCCCCTCTCAATGTCCCCATCTCTGCCTCCATCTTTGGTGTCACTGTTTCTCTGGAGAAGGTCCCACATTCCGCTTGTGCTCTTCTCCCTTGACGGTCCTCGGGTCCTTTGTTTCTGGACTTTATGATTAACTGCTCCCCCATTTTTGTCACAAAACTTCTACCTTTACAATTGTGACAGTCACAATTAGTCATGATAACAATTACTCACTATTGAATCATAGGAATCTTATCCCCATTTCTTTTAATCAAACTCATCTAGACAAGATGACAACTATTCAGTGGGAAATCTTTCTTCCCCCTCCCCACTCTTAAACTCCCTCTTGAAACCTTTTGTAAGCCAGTCACTTCGTGCCTTTATCACCCCCTCATTTTAGGTAGTCAAAGTCTAAGTTGTGCATCGCTATCTGCCCTGTGTACAGGGGATAGCATTGATACTTGATGTGAAGACTCCTTCCTTCTTGTTGCTATTTAGAGTTACTACCTCCATGAGTATAGATCAGGTTCATCAAATTGTAGCAATTTTTGTTTCCTTTATCAAAAAATTATTGTTGTTGTTTTTCTTTTATCTTCCTCTAGTTGAATTCTGATTATCAAGCCATCGAGGCTAGGTCAAATGGGTACAATCTGCAAGTTTGGGTGTTCTTGTGCATCTCCCCACACTTCATATCAGCTGGATGCTTCACTCTCAGCTCTAGCCCTCTGTGGCTATATCCTTGTCCATGGGCTCAGGAGTCCCCAGGTCTCACCACACTTTGGACCAACCAGCCCTTCTTCTTTTTCTCATCTCCAGGTCAACAGGAGTCAATGGACCATGGTTGAATTCAGCCCATTTCTTCATTGCTGTTTTTCTTCCTCTTCCACTCACCAGTAGACCAACATGGTCGCCAACAAGTTTACATGCCTACTCATGTGTTCCCTTTGATTTTCAGTCTTAAAGGGGGGTTTGTCCTGACGGAGTTGACTGCTTGCCTTGATGGCTTCCAGGCGAACAGCTTGCTTATTCTTGCAGTAGCCTGTCATACTGACATTTTTGTTTTGGGTTTTTCCTGATGATCCTTCTTTGAAGATGCATATTCTGATGCTTTAGATGTTTCAGGCTGATCTGATTGTCTTTGCTAGTGGGAATGTCCCACCTCATACGGTTCTGGATGGGACTCAGGATTCCACCTAAGGTCTTATACTGTACAAAGGCTCCACAAGAGGCCTGTATCACTGGGAAAGTTCTAGAACCCCTTTTAGGTTTTCCAATCAGTTATAGGCTGAAGATGGGCTTACAAGTTTTCTGTAATCATGTTTCCCAACATTCCTTTCTATTCCACTCAAGTGTCTATTTTACAATTGTAGACTAGAGAAAACAATATAAATAAGACAGTCAAGCATCTTAGTATTATTTCTCCTCTTCAAAATATGCCTAAATTCCTGTATCACAGAGCCCTGTTGTTCCAAGGTTAAGCATGCATCACTATTTACCTCTGTCCCACTTAGGCCATGCAAACCTGTCTCAGTGTTCTCCTACTCTACCTTGTTCTTCTACCTCCTCACCCTTCTTGTATTGCCCTTCCCAACATCCAAACTCTGATGTGTCTGCCCTTACCCTGTGTTCTATCATCGCCTCCCTCCACCTCCCCTGAAGCCCCCCCACCCCAACCCCACCGTTGTGGTTACCTTCTATTCCATTAACTTTTCCCTCCATTTCAGGCAGTCTATTTTATCCTGGTGTGGCACTGTGGGTTAATGCACTGGACTGCAAAGTCAGTTTGAACCACAAGGTCAGTGGTTCAAGCTCACCAGTCGCTTCTTGGAAACCCTATACAAGGTTGCTATGAGTCGGAACTGACTCGACGGCACTTAACAACAACAACAACATTTTATCCTGTAATCAACCTGACCTTCCCACCACCTAGATCTCTTTTACTCTGTGTTTACCTTCTTTCACATTGTAATTGTTTTGATCATAGACTGACTGCCCAGATCCTCTGAATTTGTTCTCATAGTTTTATTCTGTTCCCGACTATTCCATTTGTTGATTGACATCTGGGTGATGTTGCCATGTACGTCAATCTCTGGTTGTTGTCTGTTTTTGTTGGTTCTCTGTTCACAGAACTCCATTTAGGATGTTTTTCATCACATGGTTGGCTTTGACAGAATCCCTTAGCTTCTGTTTATCCTAGAATGTTTTAATTACACCATCATATTTGATTGACAGCTTTGCTGGGCAGAAGATTCTTGGTCGGCAATTTTATTCTTTCAGTGTTTTATGTATGTCTCCTCATTGCCTTCTTGCCTGCATGGTTTCTGTTGAGAAAGCAGAGCTTAATCTGATTTACTTGCCTTTGTATGTTACATTTCTGTTTTCCCTAGCTGACTTCAGGATTCTGTCTTTATCTTTGATTTTGGAGAGCTTGATTATTATATATCTTGGTTATTTTATCTTAGGGTCTATCCTTCCTTGGGTTCACTGAGCTTCTTGAATGCTTATCTTTTCATTTTTCAGGATGTTAGAGAAATTTTCTTCCAGAAGTTCTTTGACTATTTCTTCTGTGGACTTGTGTGATTCTTCTGGTTCTGGAATCCCGATAATCCTTAAGTTATTCCTCTTGATGTTGTCCAACATGAATCTTAGACCTTCTTCAGATTTTTAAAACTTTTTTTCTTCTTGTTCTATTTTTGTGGTATTGGCAGGTTTATCTTCTAGTTCACTTGTTCTGGCTTCTTCTATCTCTTCAATTCTACTCCTTTGTCCTTTCAGTGTATTGTCC